TATGTAGCCATTTAGTGCTATGAATTTTCCTCTTAGGACTGCTTTTGTAGTGTCCCATAGGTTTGAGTATGGTGTGCAGTTATTTTTTTTAATTCTAGGAAGTCTTTAATTTCTTTATTTCTTCCTTGATTCATTGGTGACTCAGATGTGAATTATCAATTTCCATGAGTTTGTAGGCAATTAGTGTTTTTGTTGAAGTCTAACTTTAAACCATAGTGATCTGATAAGATACAGGGGGTTACTCCAATTTTTTTTTTGTATTTGTTGAGGTTAGCTTTGTTTCCGAGTATGTGGTCAATTTCAGAGAAGGTTCATTGAGGCTCTGAGAAGAAAATATATTCCTTTGTGTTAAGATTAAATGTTCTATAGATGTCTGTTAAGTCCATTTGAATCATGACATCTGTTAGCTCTCTTATTTCTCTGTTAAGTTTCTGTGTAGCAGACCTGTCCATTGGTGAGAGTGGGGTGTTGAATTCTTCTACTATTAATGAGTGGGTTTGGTGTAAGATTTAAGCTTTAGTAATATTTATTTTATATATGTAGGTGCTCTTATATTTGGGGCATATATGTTCAGGACTGAGACTTCATCTTGATGGATTTTTCCTATGATGAGTATGAAGTGTCCTTCTCCATCTCTTCTGATTGATTTTAGTTTGAGGTCTACTTTGTTAAATATTAGTATAGCTACACCCGCTGTTTCTAAGGTCCATTTGGTTGAAAAATCTTTTCCCAACTCTTTACTCTGGGGTGATGTCTATCTTTGAGGTTGAGGTGTGTTTCTTGTATGCAGCAGAAGGATGGATCCTGTTTTAGTGGCCATTCTGTTAACCTGTGTCTTTTTATTGGGGAATTGAGTCCATTAATATTGAGAGATATCAATGACCAAGATTGTTAATTCCTGTTATTTTTCGGTGGTAGTGTTTATGTGTTTCCTTTCTCTGGGGTTTGCTGGTGTGAGATGTGAGGTTATCTGTTGCCTGTGTTTTTGTGGGTGCAGTCCTGTTGCATCTGAAGCTGCTCCTCTGAGCCCTCTGCTTCCTCATGCAGTTCATAGCTCACTGCATGCGCCGCTCCACTCACTGTGCCCCTGGCCACATCCTGAAAGGATTCTGGTTAGCAGCTATGGGAGGAGTCTCTCTCTCTCTCTCTCTCTCTCTCTCTCTCTCTCCCCCACCCCCGTCTTGCGCCTCTCTTCCTGGATCCCTGCCCTGCTCAGCATGATTTTTGCAGGTTTACAGCACTGTTGGCAATGGTTGGGAGGATTAATGAATCACAATATAGGAGAGGGGAAATAAACTAGTTACTACACATGGGATCATTTGAATCCCTCCCACAGAAGACTTCCAGCTCATACCCACATGCTCAGCCGTCAGCTCTTCTAAACACTCCCCTTCTTGGAAGCTCCTCTAACTGTTTCCATGCAAACAGTACATGCATAAACACACACACACACACACACACACACACACACTTTACCCTAGTCTGGTCTACACTATCCAAGGAAACTCCTTTCAACCTCTGTGTCTCTGAATCCCAACCCATGATGGAGCCAACATCAGGCATGGGTGCTCTCCTCACCATGCACAGGTGCCCACCTCACCATGCAAGATGCCCTTCTTCATTCTAGACAGGTGCCATTCTAACTATGTATGGGTGACTTCCCCACTCTGCACAGTTGACCTCCTTATCCTGCACATGTGACCTCTCTCAATATACATGGGTGCCCTCCCCATCTTGCATGGGTGCTCTAATCACTCTGCATGGGTGCCCTCCTCACCTCTCAGGCTCTGACATCTCACACCAGGCTGCTGCTTGTAGACTCACTCCTGAATCCAGACACTTTCTCACCAGCATGCTGACACTCCCATCTTGACTTGGGCTCTACTTCTACGGTCAAGCCAGCCTTCTGCACGGTCACCCAGCTTGGATTTTCACATTCTCAGCCACACCATTGCTGCTCCACACCTGACCCTTCCACAGACACCTGCCTTGCCCTTCCCACATCATTCCTTATTCAGTAACTTCCTAAGCAACTGAGGTACAGCAAGAAAGGATGTACCTTTCTTGATAGGACAGAGTATATGCAGTCCTGTGTAATTATTAAACCTCTGGAGCATTTCCATGGTGACAAATATTCCTACACAACACTTCACTCCAGTCACAGGTGCACAGGAGTTTTACCCTCTCAGAAAAAAATATATTTCCATAGTTATCATATCTGACATACCTGAGAATAAGTTATGGACAATTCCAAATTCAGGTTGTGTATTTGAATTTTTCTCATTTGTCTATATCCTAAGGGTCTGGCCATGGTCACTGTAATTCTGTTCGACTTCTTTCCACATTTATCATTTTTGAGCCAGATCATAGAGAATCACACCTTGTTGTGAGTTGAATGTGTGGTTGCCTCCTGTATTTAGAGAATCAGGTTCATTCTCATCCTATGGGCCAGCGAAAGTCACCTGGACAAACCAGTCACTTGGGGTTGAAAGCATACTGTATAAAGAGGGAGGTGGGTCAAAGGCATTGAATGAGCCCATTGTCAGAGGAGTACGTAAGCCCTTGGGGACTGGTATAGCATCCGCACCTAATTCCTTTGCTCTTTACTCAGATGTCTTCTTATTGCAAGAAGAGGTATCATTGCAACTCAAGTATAAAATACTAGAACTTGCTGGAGAGATGGCTCAGCGATTAAGAGCATGGACAGCTCTTCCAAAGATCCTGAGTTCAATTCATGGCTCACAGTCATCTATAGTGGGATCCGATGCCCAATTCTGGCATAAAGATGTGCATGCAGATACAGCACTCATGTAGACAAAACTTTCAAACTTCTGCTTCACTCATCTCTGATATTGAAGTGAACTAGTGTCATGCGGGTTTAGTGTTGGGTGTGTATCATGCACACCATGGGGTCTGTCATGAAGCAGTGTGGGGGAACCTGGGAAGCTGATGGGGCACATTCTCCTGTTCATTTTCATCTGCATTCATATCATTTACACCTGGCGGTAGAAGAAGGACTTTCTCTGGATTTTACCCAGGTCGTGGGAGGTTACTGCTCTAATTCTCAGGAATTTCTGGAGATATTGGGAAGTCTGTTTAATCACGGTAGGCCACAAAGCCCTATGCTGTTCAGTTCTCTCACAGTTCATGGTAACAAGACGATTCATGTTGGGAGCTCACCATTTCAGAAACCCTGATCATGTGATTAAAATGTTGAGCCTTTGAGCCATGAGATGCTCACCCTGGCAGCAAAGTGGTGCTGAAAGCTGAGTTCATTTATTTATCAACCAAACACTCACACCTATATAAAGAACCCTGATAAATCCCTGAACATCAGAGCTCAGATGAGTGTCCTCTGGTTGACCTGTTCTGTATATTGTCACTAACATTCTGGGAAGGAGATGCACACACAGGGTCAATGGAAGTTCCCTATTTGGGACCCTCCCTGATCTTGCCTTACATGTCCCTCCCATTAGTTCTCCCTCTATCTTTTTATATTAAAAAACCATAATCTTAATAGAGCAGAATCATTAGCTCAGTGAATCATCCTAGCAACTTATAAGTCTACAGGAGTGGCAGGACCCTGGGAGTCTACAGACAGTTGATTATAAGTAATAGCATCCTTGGGAACTCCTGAACCTGAAGCATGAGTCTGAAATGAGGACAGTCTTGTGGAGGCACTGCCTGAACTTGTAGAATAATTTTTTTTTAGCAAATGAAATTATTTTGGCTATGGCTTACTAGAACAGCCATAAGAAACATTTTGGGGATGACTGAGGAAACACAGGAAAGACCACACATCATATGAGAAAAGAGTTGTTAAATTTTCCAAGAGTGATAATGGTATTGTTTTGTTGTACAATGAGAATTTCAGATGATATACACTGAAATATTTTCTGGAGTGTATATATCAAATTAACCCTCAAATGTCCTATCAAATAACATGTGCATATATATGCATATATACACACATATATATCAAATTATCCAATGCCAACAACCATTAATATAGATGGTAGTCTGAGACAGTGTGCCTGATCTAATGAGAGCTCACCAAAGCCAGCTGGACTGGGACTGAACGAGCATGTGATCAAACTGGACTCACTGAATGTGGCTGAAAATGGGTGACTGAGAAGCCAATGATAATGGCACTGGAATTTGTCTCTACTGCATGTACTGGCTTTTTGGGATCCTAGTCTGTTTGGATGCACACCTTCCTAGGCTTGGATGGAGCGGGGAGGGCCTTGGACTTCCCACAGGGCAGGGTACCCTGCCCTCTCTTACAACTGGAGGGGGAGGAAGGAGGGTGAGTGGGGGAGCAGGAGGGAAATGGGAGGAGGGGAGGAAGTGGAAATTTTGACTGGTATTATTTATAAAGCAACAAAAATTTAAAAAATAGATGGTAGTTATATGAGTATTGATGATATCATCCAGACAAATTCTGTTTCAAAATATTCATAAGAAGTTGAAAGGGCTTCTAAAGTATTAATCAACACACAGGCTTCCGTGAGAAATGAGGGTCTTCCCAATGTCAATCCCCAGGGCAGTGACTGTCCCTAATATGGCAGGCACCAAGGGGAAACACCAAGAATCACTAAGAGTACCAGTAGAAGGTTGGCTATCATCTCCTTAAACTTAATGTTAATGTATCTTACCCAATCCAGGATCAACCATCCAATAGAGATCCTCATCAGACTCACAGTGCCCATAGTATCCCACATACTAGCCATTGGGTCTAAGGTTCTAGTATTGGGAGATGTGAAAATGCTGTTGAAGGGCACAAACTGCCAGAGAAAATATGAGTAAGCACTGGGGATCAACGTGACAATAGGTAGCAATCACCCTGTTTGTCTGAACTTGCTTAAGAAGTTCTTAAATGTTCTAACACCACACACAAAAAAAAAAAAAAAAACCAGACAACTGTGTTAGGTAATAGATGGTGTTGTTAACCTGATTGTGGTAGTCATTACCCAACACATTTCCATATCAACTCAAGACAGTGTAATGCAAATATACATGATGTATTTGTGAATTATACATCAATAAATCCAAAGGCAGGTGAAAAGAGAGAGAGAGAGGGAGAAGGACCACTCCATACAATTCTATCATCAAATAAGACTTTAGGAATCTAAAAATAGACAGAGAAGGTGATGCGATACCTAAAATTCTATGATATACATTCCACAAGAAGATCTTTCCAGGTGTCTATGTCGTGGTGGATAAAAATGCAGGCCCATGTCCGTGGAGACTGCTTTTTCACAAGTATATTTTCTTCATCTGACAAACTGACTTCTGTTTATCACTGCAAACGATGTCATTCCAGCCCCACTTAGAATATGGATGACTTAATATAACACATTGTTCACGGTTGCTGCTGGGCTCACCTTTGTGCCAGAACCTGTAAGGGAGGAAAGAGCATCAGGTGTTTCCACAGTAATGCTGGGAAAGAGAAAGCAAGGGTAAGCAAGCCTGGGGATGAGGTTGGAACCTGTGGAAATCAGATTCTAGTGTGTACAAATCAACCATTCTCCACCACCCGTATCTAACCTTTTCCTGGAAAACAGGGTCCACCGCATTCAATATTCTCTCAGCTTGGTACTTAACTGTTCTCCCAGCACACATCCCAGAGTCTGCTTCATCACTAGGTCTTGGTACCCAGGGACTGTCAATCCATGTGCTTGTTTATATATTGAGAAGGTCTCTTCTTTTTCTCATATTTTAATAAAGCTTTCTTTCATTTTATATCAGTTTTATTTTAGAGACTAGAGAGCTAATTAAAATATCTAGATAATCTACTTATTTCTGTCATCTAGGGCAAGTAACTTAATATCCTGGATTCCTACTTTTCTTCTCTGAGAACTGAGAATGATAATAACACCACTACCTAATTCTCACTACAGAAATCTGATAGAATATAGGAACATAGTAAGATATTGGAGTTTTAAAATAATTACATAAATATGAAACACAACAATACGAGATTGGGAGCTTTAGATTTATGAGAAATAATCACTATTGTCTTGACATTAATTTTAGTATAGAGATATAAATGAAAGCTGGAGAGATGTCTCAGACATTAAGAATGCTTACTGTTTTTCCATAAAACATGAGTGTTATGTTTCCTTAAGCTTTATTGTTGTGGTTATCACCTGTGCCTCAACTACAGCGGATCCATCGCCCTCTTATGGGCCCCATGGGCACCCACATACACCTGGTACACACTCACAGAGAGACACATAAACACACAAATAAAAATAAAAATAGAACCTATTTTTAAAAATTCCAATCAGTGGCTAAAAGCACAATAAACCCCCCCATCTGTAAGCACCTGGTTGGCACCCTGGGTACTTCTTATCCTGCACTCTTCTAACTCAGTTCCTCATCTCTCCTGGAGTGTCAGTATCACGGGTCTCACAGGACTCCTGTGATGAGTAAACGGGGATAAAGGTAACTCCATCCCCAGCACCCACACCAGGGCTGAGCTGTTGTAGTTTCATAACCAACAGCTGGAAACCCTAAAGTCTTCTCATGGCACAGGACCCAGGACTCCTCTGGGTAACTCTAGACTCACGTGGCACTTTCATTGTATGGCGTCTGATCAACCCATTGCCACTGTCGATGTCCTGGATCTGAAAGCCCAATAAAATAAGCACCATCACGTCTCAGGATCTTAGTGATGAAATCCTAAGAGGAAAGAAAAACATAGCATTCAGCCTGGATTGAGGGCTTTTTTTTTCTGTTATAGAATTTTTATAAGATCTTTTAAAAATTATTTTAAATATGCAAAATTATAGGTTCAATATGATGCATATGTGCAAATACATAATAATCAAATCCTAGTTCATCATTCTAGGCCCTTAAATAGTTTTCAAATTTTAGATTAATACACAATAATTGTACATTTTGGAAGTACACTGGTCACACAGAGATGAAAAGACAAAGAGGATCAAGCACTAAAAGAGCCCCCACCCCACCCCAAGGAGTGCCATCTTCCCCAACTGACCAGGATACAAAGTCATCACTCATAGGCCTGATTTTATAGACATTGAAAATAATCCCTCTCCACGATCATGAATTCTTGTCTCAGACTCACTCCCCTCTTTTCTTCCCCAACACCGTTCTTGAAGGTTGTGCATGAGAGGATTTTACAGATTTAATCATTCTCCATCCATAATTGCAGATATTTCATTTCTGATGGTTGGCTGTGACTCTCCTGATTGGATCCCCTTTCCCTCGTCACCTCTGTGCCCTCCCCTGTTAGGCAGCTGGTACTACAGGAAGCCTTAGAGCGCTGAAATCACAAACAGGTCTTTCAGATAAAACATTCCATCCTTCCCTCCACCCTCAGGCACTGCATTTCTGTTGCCATGGTTCCTGTGGGTTGTTTAGTTTACTTCAGCGGGAGCAGGGTATAGAATGCCAAGGCTGAAGCAATCTTTCCGGCTACCTGATGGCAAGCCTTCTGCCACAGCACCAACACCCATGTCAACAAAGCTTCCTCTTAGTAAAAAGGGCAGACATCAGGCTGGGCCCAGGCCCCACTCGCTCCCAGGATGCACCTGCTCTTCCCGGCTGCGGATCACCATCAGATGAGCACCCATGCTGGAGCACTTCTCCTCACTCTTGCTCCAAGATGTCGAGTCAGTGGGAATGAAGTAGCAGTGGGAACTAAATGGCTTCCAATCCTTTGGGCAACAGCTCCAGACTTCGTCTATGGAGAGAAAGGAAATGTAAGTACAATGTCATAAAGTCGTTTAAAATCTGCTGTATGTGGAGACCACATGGAAACTGGGACTTCCCGCATCTCCAGATGCAGCAAGGAGCCCCTCCCGCTCTGGTGCCAAGGAACCCCAGTCTAGAGCTAGCAACAAGATTTATGACAAACACATGCACACACACACTTATGAAAACACTTGAGGGACTACAGAAATGACTCAGTAGTTAAGATGGTGTGTTGCTCTTGCAGAGGATTGGAGTTCCCAGCACCCATGACCTGAGGCTCACCATCACATATAACTCCAGCTCCAGGGATCCAACGCCCTCTTCTGCCCTCTGCAGGCACTGCACTGACATACACAAGCCCACACACAGATACTTGCACATAAACATATTTCAAATTAAAAATAAAATCTTAAACACACACTTGAGATGACTCCCTGGAGATGCTCACATTCACATCATCAGATCTGCTTCATTCTTTCTGGAGCTCCTTTCTGTGCTAATGAAATTCAGCTCAGCCTGGCATTGGCTCTCCTGCCCTAAACTCTTCTTCATTGACACCAGGGGTCCACACAGCCCAATCCTGCCTGACTGGAGACCTCTATAAAGGACTCCCCAGGCAGCTGCTACTGAGTATGCTATATGATGCTGTGTCCCCACAGTGCCCATTGCTGATGGATCTACCCATGAATCTTGTTGGAAATGCTGATTCTAGGCAAGTTAACTTTACCTTTCAAGGGTGAATGCTGTTTTGTACACTCCAATCCTGTAAAATTCAGTTCTTTTATGATTGCTTTCTCTTCAAGAAGTTGAGAATATTTTTTAAACAAAGCTGTAAAACAGAATAAAAACCATTTGTTTTTCTGGTAGTAGTACTAAGACTCAACTCTCTGCTTTTACCTTAGTTCATTCTTTGTAGAAGCGAAACCTATAAATGTCCAGTTACCTGAGAAGTTAGAGGCTGCCTGGGAAAGATTCCCCATCACCATAGAGTGTGCTGGCTGTGGCCCTAGCACTTGGGAATTAGAATGAGAAAGGTCAGAAGTTTCAGGTCATCCTTAACTGTACAAGTTGGTGTAGTTGATTGGTTGGTTTAGCTAGCTAACTAGCTAGTTAGCTTAGTTAATTGGTTGGGTTAGTTGGTTAGTTAGTTAGTTCATAGCTAGCCCGGGCTACATGAGACCTTACCACAAAAATAGAACAATTTTCTCTGTAACCCTGCTCTTACTGATTTATGACCACAAATATCCACAGGAAGAGCTGGAAGGGACAGATTCATGACCCTGAGGTCTCTCCAGCATCTAATGGAGGGCACACTAAAGACTACATCTTAGATGATAAATTCTACTAAGTATGTGCAAAGCCCAGGAAAGGGGAGGGAGAAATGAGTTAATTCAGAGAAGTTCCTGGTTTCCCGAGCATGGAAGTTATGAAAGAGCTCAACACTGATCAAAAGGACATTGCTTTGTTCTTTCCTTTCCTTTCCCTCGGCCCCAGTGAGCTCTGACTTCTCAGTGTTCCCACACTTTCATGGTGACCCTAACTTAAAACTAATTCACCTTTTCTCTTCCTTATCTTCCACTTTTCCTTTAGTTCCTAGACTCTGGCTTTCACTTCTGCTAATTTATAAAACTGTTTTTGAGATAGATATCAATGGCTCCTCGTGTGCACTTATCAGTCATCTTCCCGTGGGACTTCTCACATGACCCTAGCCCGCTTCTTCTCCTCCTTGACAGTTGGGAGATGCTGGCACCCTCCGGTTTGCCTGGCCCTGCTTGCTGCTGTGTCCTGTGCTCTTTCCTACCTGCTTCCTTCTGCACCCACCTCTCATACATTGGAAAATTCACCCAGTTCCATCTGTAATTCTCTTTCTCTTCCTTAGTGATATTGCAATTTCATGGGTTGTTGGAGTGGGTTGACTGCTGACTTTATGAAATCAGAACACTAGAGTCACACCTCACTCCTCTGCGTCCCCTAATTCTCAGCTATCAATATTGACCAAAACTTCACCTCCTGTGCTCAATGGTATCTCCTCTCCTGTGCATCACTAGCAGGACCCTTGGATCAAGCCCCCAGTGCTGCTCAAATGTATTCTGAATTGGCTTCCTAATTTCTCCTTCCCTTCATTTTCACACCTCGGTAAGAGTCGCTTCTCTAAGTCAGTTTTAACTTTATCATGTCCTGCTGCAGATTCTTCAGTGGGTCTCCATGACTGTGACACACTGCAAATCTGTACACACTTTTTCATCTTCCTGATATGAATATCCACTTGGGCTATGCCTTCCCAGTTCTGTACTCAAGCAACTGGGTCTGGGGTTGGAGAGATGGTTTAGCGGTTAAGAGCATTGACTGCTCTTCCAGAGGACCCGGGTTCAAATCCCAGCACCCACATGGCAGCTCACAGCTGTCTGTAATCCCAGTTCCAGGGGTCTAACAGCCATGGCAAAAACACAAATGCACATAAAATAAAAATAAATAATTTTTTAATTTTTTTTAAAAAAAGAAACTGGGTCTATTTCTACACTACCTGATATGAGGAGCTGAAAGACAAGCCTTTAAGACTTTCTTTGTCTACTAAAATACACAAAGGCAAATTGATGCTCACTCCATGTTGAGCTTGGCTTACTGCTTCCATCCATCCTGGAACTCTGAAGTTGCCATGGGAAGCTGGGGTGTCTGTTGCTGATGCGTGACTCCCTGAGGATGAGTAAGTTTACCTAGGGTCATGGGAATCTCCCAAGAGAGACCAGGCTTGGTGGCACCGCCAAGAAAAAATTAAATTAATAGTTCAACTAACCTACTAATTTTTAAGTTGGCTAAGGGTTCAGCCACAGCCACTAAATTAAATAACATTACAGGAAATACCCGTGTAATATGGCCTGCACTATCTTGTCATCAGAGTCCAGTTTGTCTGCCCCTACAGTTTCGGGCTCAGTTCTCCATGCAGCACTACACGGTACAGGAATGCACACCTATATTTGCCCGTATTTCCCACGCTCCCCCATGTCTCAGGCATTGGTGGCACACAGGTCTAGGCATCATCTGCTCCTACCTTTCCTTAGCCTCCTGGGCTCAGTTCTCACCTGCACAGCATTTCCCATGCGAGCTTTTAAGCGCTGCTTCACTTGACTGTTCTCTACATTTCCTGAGACAGGGGCTGTGGCTCTGTCTGGACTTTGACATGCTGCCCAGTATATAGTAAATGGAGTAGTAATTATTGAATGAATAAATATAACACCTACATAAAAATATAATTTATGATTTTTAATTTTTGATGAATTTGAAAGCCATTTTACAGAGAAATCCACTATTTTCTAAAATAGTTCCAGGACTGACACAGTTTGGAACAAAAAACAAATGATTAGAAGGAAATTCCCTAGAGCTCTGACCCTGGAGTAGCTCTGTCATCTCTTCTCATTACCCTGATCAATACACAATGTAAGCATCTATGCATCTGATGGGGCTGGCTTCTCAATGCTGCTGAGGAAATACAGATTTATCCTCAGAATCGGAATCTACCACAGATACCCCAGGATTTCACTCTGTGACACCAACTAACACACACTGGCTTCTCTAGTGAGAAAAAATGAATTTTTCAGAAGAGTCATTATGAAACAGAGAAAAAATTTCATGTTATCCATATCCCCAGAGAGTTCATGTCCCAGGCTTCTGCATAGCCTTCTGTCTAATGGGTCCCCTTCCTTGTCATTGCTACTTGTCCCATGGTCGTACTTACTGATCAGAGCAATGGAGAATAAGATTGTCAATAGCAAGAAATATATTGTTAATGAGGTGAAGAGCACCCTGGAGAATCTATAACAACTTTCATGAGTCGTGATCTTCTTTGGAGGAGCTGAAAGACAAACAAAATCCATGTCTTGAGTTCTGTTCCCATTTCCTCTTCATTCTCCTTTTCTTCTTTTTGTCCATGATAAATACTAACAACATGATGTTTAAAATAACCAGAAAATGCAAATAGGAAAAAAACATGTTAAACATAGAAACATTACTATACATGTTGCGTGCGCGCGCGTGTGTGTGTGTGTATGTGTGTGTGTGTGTGTGTGTGTGTGTGTGTACTAATTCTTGACATTGAAAATGATTGTTGTCACTATTTTGGTATGTTTCTTTCTAAGAAGTTAAAAACTTTTACTTATAATAAATGTGTTTTCCACAATTGAAAATCTGATGTGTGACTATATTTTCTTTGACATTACGTCATTATTTCCCCTGTATTTTGCTTTATTTTTGAAACAGGGAGTCAGTATGTACCCCAGGTAGATCTTGAACTCATTATGTAACAGTCCAAGGCGATCTCAGTTTCACAGAAACCCCCGTCTCAGGCTCCTGAGTTTGAGATTACAGGCTTCAGCAGCACATCTGAATAAACATTTTTAATATAATCATGTCATGTCTTCTTTATAAGTTTTATACTGATTGCATAGTATTTCATCATATAGTTTGGGGGGTGAGTAAAAGAAGCTGTTCAACACTTAGATGCCAGCAGACTGTGATATGTTACCAAATAGAGAGAGAAAATCAGAAGACCATGGTTTAACTGTTGAAACAAAATGTTACACACATTTAAGTGTATTTATGTGTAGAAAAGATACAATAGCTTGGGTGATGTGATTTTCTCTAGATGGTAAAAGGCAACACTTTCTCTTTTCCATTGTACAATCCCACAACTTTTCCCATCTGTCTACAGGCAGCACACTTAGTTGAGACTCCAGTGACTCAGATGCATGGCCAGAAACTAAGATCATCCGTCTTTCTCCTTGACTTCATCACTCACTAAGAGCAGCAGAAAAGGACTTCTTACCTGGAGGAGAGCCTGGATTGATGTCTGAGGAATCAATTTTATTTTTGAAGTTCGAGTTAATATAAATGTTTTCTGAAAACATGTTGAGAAGAAATCTTCCCTTGTCCTCAGAAGATGAGTGTCATCCCTTCTGTAAAATAGGCCTTGAACAAAAAACAAATGTGGCAACAAATTATCCCGATTCCAGCTAGGGATGAGAGGCAGTAACAGAAGCTGCCCTGCAGAATGAGGTCCAGTCCCCTGACTGGCAAAGGGAGAATCACGGGCGGGGAATGCACCCAGGACCATTGTACAAACGTCTCGATACCAAGAACTCAAAGCTGGGCAGGGAGGGGAGAGAAAACAGGAAGGAATGAAAAAGAGGAATCAAGCCATTGGAGAAGTCAAATTTGCCACAGAGTTGACGTTCTGACACTCAGTCTGAGCTAACCTCCACAATAAAGCATCCGTTTCCCATCTTGTGCTGAGATTCCTACTCCTGATTCCTGGAGAGCTGCCACTCTCCTCAGTATTCCTGAGGCTTTAATACCACGCTTAAGTCGGCCCGACAAACAGAAATATTCTTCAACCCAAAGGCACCAGTATGCACCCAGACTGTCCCACCACATGGGGACAGTGTCTTCACCCTGATCCGTCTCTGAAACCCTGACCTCCTCTATCTTATGCATGGATACTCCCTTGAACCTGCTGGGGCTCTGACATCCAGTTTTCCCACACCCAGCAAAGATTTCCTCTTTTTCTTGAAAGTCACTGAGTTCCCATCTTGTGTTTTCCACTCCCACCCTCTGTACCTTGCCTGGTTCCTGATTTACCCTCAGAGAGGAAGGTCCCCTCGTCCTGCTGAGTACCCAGATCCCAACCTGATGTGGAACTAACACAGTGCACTGGGTCCACTCTGGCCTCTTCCAAGTGCTGAGGTGTCACACCAGGCTGTCCTGGAGGACCCTCTGCCCACTCATTTAGGGTTCTGACTTCCTGCAAGAAGTGACCTCAAGCACGAACGACTTCTCACTCTGCTTAAGCTCAGACTCGCTGAACCTGCCCACTCTCAGACATGGCTGCCCTCGTTACCTCTCAGACTCTGAGGTCTCACATCAGGCTGCTGCTTCCCAGTCAAGACACAGTTCCTCCCACTGCTCAGATTCCATTTCTGCTCAAGACAGCCCTCTGCACAAACAGGTCATTGCTTCCCCACACCCCACCCTACTATAGACACCTACATTGCCTTGTCCTGCATAATACTTTACTCAAAATTGAATTATTTATTAAGAGACAATAGTATTTTTAAAATACTATTTTTAAGAGATAAAATACTCTATCATTCATTAAAATCCTTATACAAAATTGAGTTCTGAAGTGACCTCTATTTTTCTAGGGGAAAAAATATCACATTGTGCATGAACTATACTGTGTCATAAACAATCACAGTACCTAACTGACTTACAATATCAAGCACTTATTTCTCAATCACATTTTATTTGGGCTTAGGGTCTGCCTAATGCTGACTAATTCTCCTTGGATCCAGCCATATATTTCTTTATTCTGGCACTAAGACCACAGAGTAGTTGAGCCTGCAATATACTCCTCTGTTTAATTTGGAGGTCAGGGCTAGTGATATGCCTAGGCAGGTATAGGTGTTTGCTATGAAACCTGACCACCCGAGTTGAATCCCTGGATCTCACATGGTAAGAGAGAGCCACATCCTGCATGTTGTCCTCACTTTCTTGTCCATCTGCAAAACGTGTGCGCGCACACATACACACACACACACACACACACACACACTAAATAAATGAATAAATAAATTAAGTAAGTAGTGGTCATTAAAAAGTCACTATTATAATATCGGTCAAGGCAGGCACTTGTACAAAACTATAAATTAGGGAGAAAGACAGACTATGCACACTGTAGATCCCACAGGAAAATGTGTCAAGAGCATCAAAGTTTAATACTTCCACACAGAATTATGCAAACACTTTTGACCAATTGCGTGAACCAGTTCCAACTACTTTTCATTATCCTGCTAAAGGATCGCTAACAACCCTTTAAAATGTGGCATAAATAGCAAAAGAAACAATTAGCAGGGTAAAGAGAAGGCTCTCCGGATGGGGGAGGGGAATCTTTCCCAACAGGATTCATGAACTGAATGGAGAGTTCTCAAAAGAAAGAATACAGATGGTCAATAGATGCCTAAACGTGTGCTAAAAAATACTAGTCATAAGGGAAATAAATAGATAAACATTTTTGAGATTCCAACTTACACCAGTCAAAATAAAGTAAACAGAACAATTCCTGGAAGAATCTTGGACATATACCCAAAGGATGCTCAATCATACTACAAGGACACTTGTTCAACTATGTTTATAGCAGCATTATTCGTAATAACCAGAACCTGGAAACAATCTACAAACAGGGATTTTCCCATGATAGAATTTTGTATGACTTGGACTTGTGCATTCTGTAACAACCACTGTGAGTCCATATATTCCGATGCCCTGCTGTATCCAAAAGACACAGTTCCTGTGTAATCATTCATCACATTTGGCTTTTAAACTTTCTACTCCCTCTTCCATAATGTTCCGTGAGCTTTATGGGAAACAGAGTTGTGGTACAAATGTCCCATTTAGGGGTGAGCATTCTGCTTATTCTCTACACCTTGGCCAGTTGGGGGTCCTATGTTAGTTATCATCTACAGCAAGTTGAAGCTTCTCAGAGGAGGGTTGCGAGACACACTGATCTATGGATTCAACAATAGGTCTTTAAGACACAGTAAACAATGTCCATTTGGCTAAGCAATAGTGATAGATTCTCACCTTGGCCTATGATCTGTCTAACCATAGTTTCTTAGCCCAGTAATGGTGGAAGGTATATGTTTCATCTTAGGAACAAAACTTAAATCTAACCAGAAAATTATTGGTTGCTGCCATGATGCTGCAGTCACTATTGCACCAGTGGGCGTGTCTGGTGAGGTCAGTCACAATTGCAACTCCCAGGGTCACAGCGGGATAAGACTGATGATGACTTTCCTTGCCCAGTAGCATGCACAGCACCTTCCAGTACTATGAAAGCTAAACAGTAGGGACGAAGCTTCTAGGTCAATACCAACTTGATTTTTTTCATGTCTTATGACTCAAATGTGTGATCTGCAGCAAGAGGGTCTTGCCATAAAATTCTGGAACATTGTCCACAATAGCTAAGCTATAGAACCAACCTAGTTTTCCAACAACAGAGGAATGGATAAAGAAAATGTGCATCTGTGTACAATGGATTTTTTCAGCCATAAAGAAGACAAAGTTATGGCATTTGCAGGAAAATGTATGCTAGTGGAGATAATTATATTAAGTGGATTAAACCAATCTCACCATGAAATATAGCATAGGTTTCTCATTTGTGATGCTTAGATTTTAGACAGATGCATAAACTCAGGTTGCATACATGGCATGAAAATAGAAGTAAAATCTTGTAGAGGAAAGAGGGATGGATGGGAGGCCTTGGTGAGAGAAACGGCAAATTCAGGGAGTATGTGGAAAATGGGCTCAGCATGGATTATTTAGGATATGAAAATACCCTGTGTAATTGTACCATGAGCAATGAATAACACAATGAGAGTTTTGAAAAATAATAAAGTAAAATAAAACTTCAAAAAGCGTTCTGAAGAGTAACCAAGAATGCTGACAATAGCTATAATGTTTGAGAGTCTACAGGACCTACAACTCCAAAAAATGGTATTCTGCATTCCTGGCACTGGGCTTTTATTTGTTGGACTCTGCATAGTAGGGACACTTTTGCCCTGTTGTAGGGTATCTCCCTTTTATCTCTTTTGTGTGTATATATAGATACATTTTAGAAACCCTATATCATAATATGTTTCTATGATTTTTTCAAAACACCTTTAGTAATATTTATCCATCCTATAATACTTCTCTTACCCTATCCTCCTCTCCCTGACCCCTCTATAACACTTTCTGTATAGTTATTCCCGTTTAATCCTTTATACCACTGCACTGTATTGCTCCTCCTTTGAAAGCCCCTTCTCCTGGCCCCTCAGAAATTCCTGACCTCTAATAATTGTTACAAATAAAATACAAATCTGAAGATTAAATGCTAACACTCACAACTGAGAAAAATGTGCGACCTTTGTCTTCCTGGGTCTGGATTACCTCATTCAGAATGACTGTTTCCAGCTCCATCACCTGAAAACTTCATAATTTCATCTTTCTTACCAATATGATAACCATCTTTTGTGTAGTTATGCATTTTTATCAGCTGATGGACATCTGGGCTTCTTACCTCTCCTGGCGACTGTGAGCTGAGCAGCAATGAGCATGGAGGAGCAGTGTCTCTCGATTAGGGTGTGGAGTCCTTTGGGGAAATGCCCAGGAGTGGTGCAGCCTGATCACGAGGTAGACATTATTTTAGCTTTCTGGGAACCCCACACTGATGTTTCCAGTCACTGCTCCAGTTTGCACTCCTCCTGGCACTGAATAAGTGCTTCCCTTTCCCACATCCAGTCCAGCATTTGTTGCTGCTTGGTTTCACTGTTGCTTCTGCTTCCTTCTGCATTAGTCATTCTGACTTGAGTGAGAGAAAAATCTCAAGGAATTTTAACTTGCATGGCTAAGGATCTTTTAAAAGATGTTCTCTTTCTTTTTTGTTCAGTTGTCCATTTCCTTTCCTTTGGGGGGAGGCATTTTCTTTTTGTAAAACTTTCTCTGAACCTTCATCAGGCGATGGAGGGAGATAGAGACAGAGACCCACATTGGAGCACTGGACCGAACTCCCAAGGTCCAAATGAGGAGCAGAAGGAGGGAGAACATGAACAAGAAAGTCAGGATCACGAGGGGTGCGCCCACCCACTGAGACAGTGGGACTTATCTAATGGGAGCTCACCAAGGTCAGCTGGACTGGGACTGATGGAGCATGTGATCAAACTGGACTCTCTGAATGTGACTGACAATGAGGGCTGACTGAGAAGCCAAGGACAATTGGCACTGGGTTTTGATTCTACTGCATGGACTGGCTTTGTGGGAGCCTGGTTTGTTCGGACACTGACCTACCTAGACCTGGATGGAGGGGGGAGGACCTTAGACTTCCCACAGGGCAGGGAACCCTAAATGCTCTTAGGACTGGGGAGGGAGGGGAAGGAGGAGTTGGGGAGTGAGAGGGTAATGGGGGGGTGGGAAAGAGGTGGAAATTTTTAATAAATAAATTTTTAAAAAGAAAAAAAGCTTTCTCTGTATTCTAGATGTATAGCTGGCAGAGAATTTTTTTCTCATTCCGTGGGCCACCTTTGCTGTGCAGAGACCTTAGCTTCATGAGGTCCCATTTACTAATTGTTGTTCTTAATGCCTGTACATTGCAGTTCTGTTCAGAAAGTCTTTTTCTTTTAAAAGTCTTGGCCA